ATTGATGAGAATATTTTTTGGGGGAATCCATTTGAGAATAAGGCTGTAACGTAACAAAATGTGGAAAAAGTGAAGGGGTCTGAATACTTTCCGAATGCACTGTATGTATACTGAACAAAAATATGAACGCAACATGTAAAGTGTTGGTCCCATGTTTCATGAGCTGAAATAAAAGATCCCAGAAATGTTCCATATGCACAAAAAGCTCATTTCTCTAAAATGCTGTGCACAAATTTGTTTACATCCCTGTTAGTGAGCGTTTCTCCTTTTCAAGATAATCCATCCTCCTGACATGTGTGGCTTATCAAGAAATGGATTAAACAGTATGATCATAGGGGTCTGCCGAGTGGAACAGCGGTCTAATGCATTGCATCACAGTGGTTGAGGCGTCACTACAGCCCTGGGTTCGATCACAGGCTCTGTCACAGCTGGCCGTGACCGGGAGACCCATGAGGCGGCGCACAATTGGCCCAGCGTCATCCGGGTTAGGGGAGGGTTTGGCCGGACAGGATTTCCTTGTCCCATCGCGCTCTAGCGACTCCTTGTGGTGGGCCCGGGCGCCTGCAAGCTGACATCGGTCGCCAGCTGGACGGTGTTTCCTCCGACACATTGGTGCAGCTGGCTTCCGGGTTAAGCGAGCAGTGTGTCAAGAAGCAGTGCGGCTTGGCAGGGTCGTGTTTCGGAGGACGCATGGCTCTCGACCTTTGCTTCTCCCGAGTCCGTAAGGGAGTTGCAGTGATGGAACAAGACTGTAACTACAAATTGGGCAAGAAAAACAGTATGATCATTACACATGTGCACCTTCTACTGAGGACTATAAAAGGCCACTTTAAAATGTGAATTTTTGCAACATCACACAATGCCACAGATGTCTCAAGTTTTGAGGGAACGTGCAATTGGCATGCTGACTGGAGGAATGTCCACCAGAGCTATTGCCAGAGAATTGAATGTTAATTTCTCTACCATCAGCGTCGTTTTAAAGAATTTGGCAGTTTGTATCAACCGGCCTCACAACCGCAGACCACATGAAACCCTGCCAGCCAAGGACCTCCACATCCAGCTTCTTCACCTGTGGGATCATCTGAGACCAGCCACCCGGACAGCTGATGAAACTGAGGAGTATTTCTGTCTGTAATGAAGTTTTTTTGTGGGGAAAAACTCATTCTGATTGGCTGGGCCTGGCTCCCCAGTGGGTGGGCCTGGCTCCCAAGTGAGTGGGCCTATGCCCTCCCAGGCCCACCCATGGCTGTGCCCCTGCCCAGTCATGTGAAATCCATAGATTAGGGCCTAATTAATTTCAAATGACTGATTTCCTTATATGAACTGTAACTCAGTAAAATCGTTGAAATTGTTGCATGTTGTGTTTATATTTTTGTTCAATATAGTTCTAGATTTCATTCACCTCATAGCAAGGGTGTTGCAGGCATCAGTAGTTTAAACATATAAACTTTACATGGGTACAACATCAGGGTGTAGTTAAACATTCACAAGATCCTTTCCGCCTTTCCAGGTACAGTGTACTACTCTACAGTAGCTGTGCTCTGTGCAGAGAAAGGCTTGTGGCGCTAGCTCATGCAGAGCTAGCGTCCTTCAACATTAGCCCCTCCATACTGTATGTCAAAGTCTCTCTGTGGAGAGTTATGGCTTTAATATCATGACCACTAGCCAGGTCCATTTGTTCTCCAGGGCACCTATGAAATGGTCAACATGATTATGTTTTTACTCAGCCACAGACTTTTATTGGCTCCAAGCTGAAATGTGTTTGTAAAGCGTTTTGATTTAGACAGCCGGAGAGAGCGAGAGAGAGAGAGAGAGAGAGAGAGAGAGAGAGAGAGAGAGAGAGAGAGAGAGAGAGAGAGAGAGAGAGAGAGAGAGATGGAGGTCAGTTGGAATGAAGATGCTTTTCGATTATTATTATTTTATATATTTTTTTGTGGAGGGGACACATACAGTATACTAAGACAAAAATTGAATCCTGACATTACGTACAGCGCCTTCGGAAACTATTCAGACACATTGACTTTTTCCACATTTTCTTAGGTTACAGCCTTATTCTAAAATTGATTAAATCGTTTTTTACCCCTTATCAATCTACACACAATACCCCATAATGACAAAGCAAAAACAGGTTTTTAGAAATTCCTGCTAATTGATTAAAAATAAAAAACTTAAATGTCATATTTACATAAGTATTCAGACCCTTTACTCAGTACTTTGTTGAAGCACCTTTGGCAGCGATTAAAGCCTAGAATCTTCTTGGGTATGACACTACAAGGTTCGCACACCTGTATTTGGGGAGTTTCTCCCATTCTTCTCTGCAGATCCTCTCAAGCTCTGTCAGGTTGGATGGGGAGCATTGCTGCACAGCTATTTTCAGGTCTCTCCAGAGATGTTCGATCGGGTTCAAATCCAGGCTCTGGCTGGGCCACTCAAGGACATTCAGAGACTTGTTCCGAAGCCACTACGTTGTCTTGGCTGTGTGCTTAGGGTCGTTGTCCTGTTGGAAGGTGAGTCTTCGCCCCAGTCTGAGGTCTTGAGTGCTCTGGAGCAGGTTTTCATCAAGGTTCTCTCTGTACTTTGCTCCGTTCATCTTTGCCTCAATCCCGACTAGTCTCCCAGTCCCTGTCTCTGAAAAACATCCCCACAGCATGATGCTGTAACCACCATGCTTCACCGTAGGGATGGTGCCAGGTTTCCTCCAGACGTGATGCTTAGTATTCCGGCCAAAGAGTTCAATCTTGGTTTTATCAGACCAGATAATCTTGTTTCTCATAGTCTGAGAGTCTTTAGGTGCATTTTGGCAAACTCCAAGCGGGCTGTCATGTGCCTTTTACTGAGGAGTGGCTTCATCTGGCCACTCTACCATAAAGGTCTAATTGGTGGAGTGCTGCAGAGATGGTTCTCCTTCTGGAAGGTTCTCCCATCTCCACAGAGTGACCATCGGGTTCTTGGTCACCTCCCTGACCAACGCCCTTCTCCCCCGATTGCTCAGTTTGGCCAGACGGCCAGCTCTAGGAAGAGTCTTTGTGGTTCCAACCTTCTTCCATTTAAGAATGATGGAGGCCACTGTGTTCTTGGGGACCTTAAATGCTCATACATTTTTTGGTACCCTTCCCCAGATCTGTGCCTCAACACAATCCTGTCTCAGAGCTCTACAGACAATTCCTTCGACCTCATGGCTTGGTTTTTTTCTCTGACATGCACTGTCAACTGTGGGACCTTATATAGGCAGGTGTGTGCCTTTCCAAATCATGTCCAATCAATTGAATTTACCACAGGTGGACTCCAATCAAGTTGTAGAAACATTTCAAGGATGATCAATGGAAACAGGATGCACCTGAGCTCAATTTCAAGTCTCATAGCAAAGTGTTTCTGTTTTTTGTTATTAATACATTTGCAAACATTTCTAAAAACCTGTTTTTGCTTTGTCATTATGTTTGTAGATTGCTGAGGAAATGGTTTTATTGAATCCATAAGCCGCCTCCAACGTTGCTTTAGAGAATTTGGCAGTACTTTCAACCAGACTCACAACCGCAGACCACGTGTAACCACGCCAGCCCAGGACCTCCACATCCAGCTTCTTCACCTGCAAGATCGTCTGAGACCAGCCACCCGGCAGCTGATGAAACTGAGGAGTATTTCTGTCTGTAATAAAGCCCTTTCTTCGGAAAAACTCATTCTGATTGTCTGGGCCTGGCTCCCCATCGCTGCACCCCTGCCCAGTCATGTGAAATCCATAGATTAGGGCCTAATGAATTTTTTCAATTGACTGTTTTCTTTATATGAACTGTAACTCAGTAAAATTGTTGAAATTGTTGCATTTATATTTTTGTTCACTATTTGTTACTATTTTATATTTCCATGTGTAATATTAATATAATATTTCATAGATGTCCAGTAGATAAGGAATTGGGAAAGTCTGGTATGCAAAAAAACACTCATTGAAGTTACCTGAAAATCAAAGCACCCATAACCACACCTGGCCCTGAACAAACCATCCCAACAGACACCTGATACAGTGGCTGACTGTGCTTGAAAACATGCAGGGCTTTGTACACAATGGTTTGCATAATATTTAAAACACCTAGCACACCTGAACACACCTGGGTAAGCGTGACAATAACTCTCTCTCTGTTTCCCAGAAACGGAATGAACAGACACAGACCTTGGTTCAAATACTTCACTTCTCTTTTTTTGACCTGCACTGTTGGGGCTCGGAGCATCTGAATTTCACTGTACCCTGCGATTACATCTGTGACCCTGTGCATGTGACTAATAAACTAATCTAATCATCTAATCTAATCTAATACTATTTGAAATCTTTCAAAAACATTGAGTGTTTGCTCGAGAAAGTGCCAGATCGGTGGGGTTTTCTATTTTGTAACAATTCTATTAGTCCATCAAACCAGGCAAGCTCAATCAAGCACAGATAAAGTATTTGAATAATTAAAAATAGTATTTCAACCCATAGGTCTGACAGACATGTAGGTTTTCCATAGCTTTCCCTTTCCTGGCCTCATTACCAAAAAAATAAAAATGCTATCTGGGCTATGTGGTTATTTGTGGTGTAAAGATGATGAAGGGCTTTGAGCTAATTTCTCCATCTAGACCACAGGGTCTCTGAGCCTCTGTCTCTGGGGAGAGGATGGGGCTGTCGTGGTCCTTGAAACGCAGCTGTTCAGGGGACATGTATGGAGCACATATAGTATACGCTGGTATGTGGCTGGTAATCTCTATGCTGTTGATATGGCTGTATGCATGTATTCGCAGGTTAGCATGACATAATCTGTATATCCCCAGTCACATAACAATAATAACATAAATATGTGAATAGAGATATTTTCTATGCCAATGGTGGTATCCACATTAATAAATGTAACACTTACATGGGTGTCTTGATTTGTCAAAGGAATGCCCAGCATCCCTAACCCTACCCTCCTCTCTCATGTTCTACCTCACCCTATCACCACCTCCGCCCGTTGATAGCCCCCCATCCTCTACTCCCCGTCCCCAGGACCTACCTGTATGGTGGGAGAGGAGCGGTGCTTGCGGGTGGTGGTGGTGGACATGGTGGTGGTGGTCTCGATAAAGGTGGTGGACATCTCGGGGGGCTGGGCGGTGGTGCGAGCCGACCCGGCCACAGAGGGCACGTCGCCCACCAATCGGACACTGCCGTTGATCTTAATGTTGAGGTTGCCCTCGGCAGCCATGTTGAGGACCTTGAGGCCGTTGTAGTAGAGGCCGGATAGCTGACCCTGGAAGGGCCGACTGCGGTCGCTGCCACCGATGGTGACTGTGGCCTGGGTGTTGAATATCGTTAGCTGCCGGCCTAGAGAATGGAACCAGACAGAGGTCATTCACATCAAGGAATATCAAGGTACTGAGTAGCAAAATAAGGTTTCTATTTTGTTTTTTTTCCGTGTCCAAACTGATCTTGAAATGGGAGGAGATGTTGGTTGACTCAAAGCTCGAGCTTCATATGATAAATGTTGGTCTGCCATGACCTCATTGTGTGTGTGTGTGTGTGTGTGTGTGTGTGCGTGCGTGCGTGCGTGCGTGCATCACTATGTGTACTTATGAGTCCTTGACAATGAAATGGTCCTTACAGTATATTGTAGAGGTCACGATGAGGTCGGTTGTAAAAACCTTTAAGGTGAAACTACAAAGAAAGGTCAACTGAAGAGGCTATAACTAGCCTGGGCCCAGGGAGCTAACCCCAAATATGCAGGGTCAACACTTCTGGCTACAAGGGTGATGTCTCCCAGGATTGATTCACTGTAGAAAGGTCATCGTGTTGTTAGCTGTAATTACGAGATTACGGGTTGTGATCTGAGGCTGAGGGAGGAGAGGAGAGAGGAGGATGGAAAGGAGGAGAAAAGGTCAAAGCTTTATGTCTGTCTCCTCAAACTGGCCCTTTGGGGCAGCCTCTGATCAGCTGCATCTAAAAAGTCTAGAGCTAATGCCATAGCTAAGAAGATGAAGACTGGGGTAGGAACCAATATTTAAAAGGCTAAGGCAAATGCTGAAGCCTGAAAGCAGAGGAAGGAACTAATGTTTAAAAGACTAGGACTAATACCAAAGGTATGAATCAGAAGGGCAGGAATCTGAAAGAGAAAAGCAGTACAAGGGGCTTTCGAGTTTCAAATGGGTACAATTATTACTGAAAGGATATATACATGTAAAATCTAAGAAATCTAAGTAACATCACCCGATACACAACATCTTGAATAAGTGTATATTTGAAACCTAAAACAACAAAAAATGAAACCTACAAATATTCAATTTAGCAAGAATGGAGTAAATTGTTAACCTGTTAGCAAATCGTTTACCCAGTTTGATGCAATCATTCTCCAATATCATTAACATTGCATTCTGGTTACTGAAATAATAAATGAATAAATGATTGTACATCAAAAGATTATTAACTGACTCAATATTGTAGATGTACAACAACATGTTGAAAATGGCATTCAAGTTTAAATGGATGTTAAAGGGACTTTAGGAAATACTTGAACTTTATGTTATTTCTGTTTTATCGTAAAGCTATTTTTCGAAGGATTCAAGATGTAGAGTATATGAAATAATATTTCCATGTGTAATATGAGATAGGATGAAATATTATCTACAATAGCAGTCCCTTTAACTGAGTAGAGTGATTATGAATTATGAATTACCATGAGATTTATTTGGGTAATTAACTTGGGTAACAAAATCAAATCAAATGTATTCGAATTGAGAAAGAAAATTAGGTTAGGAAGTTATTAGGTCATGTTAAAATCATATTTTAAAGTGGTAAAATAAATTCAAAGCATCAGCAACAGTTCAGCAGGCAAATGCAAAAATAAAAAGTTAAATGTTGAGTTCAATAGAAGAGAATTTAAAAGTTAGATGTTGTGTTAAGGTTACCTTTCTCTTGTAGCCAATCCACTACTGGCCGGGCGTATTTCAATGGGAATTTCTTAGTGGCAATTTCAAGGCGTTCACTATCGGTTGTCGCTGTTTAAAGTTTAAAAAACATTTAAAACATTTAGAAAACAGTATGCATTTGGCATCAGGCATTTTAACACATTTTAACACATGCTCACTTCAAACTTTTGTTTTCATTTTCATGCAAGCATTTAAAAAAAGTTTAACACTTTTAATTGCAGGTTAGAATTTATGTCTTGTTTATGAGATAGGTGAAGTGTTATAAATAAAGTGATAACAAAAATAGGTCATTTGCTGCTCTGCTGGTTTTCACGAGGCTTTACTCACAGGCGACAGAAGCGCCTCTATATTTTTGCATTCATTTAAACATTGACAAAGATATTTAGAACTGAGCCTTCATAAAAACCAGCATTTGTTTCTCATGGGATGAAGTGTATTCAAGTATCTTAAAACTAATAACAGTTAACAGACCCTTCCAATGCACATTCACCATGCAACCATTTCATACTATTAGCAGACAGTTCATGGGCATTAAGGTGAATTTTTTTTTTGCATTCTTCAAATCCAACATTAAGAACAAAAAATAGGAGTAAAGCTGTGATAATAACAATTTTCACTGGACAGCATTTGCTTTTTCTTCCCCAGAAACCAGTTCACCTCAGTACTCAAAGAAGGTTTATAATAATATAATATAATAATAATATGCCATTTAGCAGACGCTTTTATCCAAAGCGACTTACAGTCATGCGTGCATACATTTTTGTGTATGGGTGGTCCCGGGGATCGAACCCACTACCTTGGCGTTACAAGCGCCGTGCTCTACCAGCTGAGCTACAGAGGACCAGCGTGTGTGCATGTGTGTGCGTGTGTGCATTTACACACCATGCTGGGAAACAGGAAAAGGACTTTAGGGCAAATGGAGGTGGTACAGTAGGGGTGGCAAAGGAATAGGGTTGAATATGCTTTTGGATGTTTTAGGATGGGTATCTGTTAACGCCTGCTGTTTCTACACCAGAGTCAAATTGTGATGGGAGACAAGGAACCCCATGGGGAGACAAGCTGCCACGGGGTAGGAACCAAAGGAACCAAGGTAGGAACCAAATTCCAGGACCCCAAAGAGACAGGGGTACCTGAGGGCCTACCCAAAGTGAGCACCCCTACCAAGTATATTCCCTCCTTTTCTATCCCCGAAAGAGAGACCTCATTTGAGCCTTCTGCAAAGATACAGTGCCTTGCAAAAGTACATTTTTCCTATTTTGTTGCTTTACAACCTGTAATTTAAATGGATTTTTATTTGGATTTAATGTAATTGACATACACAAAATAGTCCAAATTGGTTAAGTGAAAAAAAAAAAAAAAAAAAAAAAAAAAAAAAAAAATAACGGAAAAGTGGTGCGTGCATATGTATTCACCCCCTTTGCTATGAAGCCCCTAAATGTTGTATTTTATTTTATTTCACATTTATTTAACCAGGTAGGACAGTTGAGAACAAGTTCTCATTTACAACTGCGACCTGGCCAAGATAAAGCAAAACAGGGCGATAAAAACAACAACACAGAGTTACACATGGGATAAACAAAACGTACAGTCAATAACACAATAAAAAAATAGAAAATCTATATACAGTGTGTGCAAATGTAGTAAGTTATGGAGGTAAGGCAATAAATAGGCCATAGTGCAAAATAATTACAATTTAGTATTAACACTGGAGTGATAGATGTGCAGAAGATGATGTGCAAATAGAGATACTGGGGTGCAAATGAGCACAATATGGGGATGAGGTAGTTGGTTGGCTAATTACAAATGGGCTGTGTACAGGTGCAGTGATCGGTAAGCTGTTCTGACAACTGATGCTTAAAGTTAGTGAGGGAGATATGAGTCTCCAGCTTCAGAGATTTTTGCAGTTCATTCCAGTCATTGGCAGCAGAGAACTGGAAGGAATGGCGGCCAAAGGAGGTGTTGGCTTTGGGGATGACCAGTGAGATATACCTGCTGGAGCGCATACTATGGGTGGGTGTTGCTATGGTGACCAATGAGCTAAGATAAGGCGGGGTGCAACCAATTACCTTCAGAAGTCACATAATTAGTTAAATAAAGTCCACCTGTGTGCAATATAAGTGTCACATGATCTGTCACATGATCTTAGTATATATACACCTGTTCTGAAAGGCCCCAGAGTCTGCAACACCACTAAGCAAGGGGCACCACCAAGCAAGCAGCACCATGAAGACCAAGGAGCTCTCCAAACAGGTCAGGGACAAAGTTGTGGAGAAGTACAGATCAGGGTTGGGTTATAAAAAAATATCAGAAACTTTGAACATCCAACGGAGCACAATTAAATCCATTATAAAAAAATTGGCACCACAACAAACCTGCCAAGAGAGGGCCGCCCACCAAAACTCATGGACCAGGCAAGGAGGGCATTAATCAGAGAAGCAACAAAGAGACCAAAAATAACCCTGAAGGAGCAGCAAAGCTCAACAGCAGAGATTGGAGTATCTATCCATAGGACAACTTTAAGCCGTACACTCAACAGAGCTGGGATTTCCGGAAGAGTGTCCAGAAAAAAAGTAATTGCTTAAAGAAAAAAATAAGCAAAAGGCATGTTGGAGACGCCCCAAACATATGGAAGAAGGTACTCTGGTCAGATGAGACTAAAATTGAGGTTTTTGCCTATCAAGGAAAACGCTATGTCTGGCGCAAACCAACACCTCAATGGCCTAGTCAAAGCCCAGATCTCATTCCAATTGAGAATCTGTGGTATGACGTAAAGATTGCTGTACACCAGCGGAACCCATCCAACTTGAAGGAGCTGGAGCAGTTTTGCCTTGAAGAATGGGCAAAATTCCCAGTGGCTGGATGTGCCAAGCTTATAGAGACATACCCCAAGAGACTTGCAGCTGTAATTGCTGCAAAAGGTGGCTCTACAAAGTATTGACTTTGGGGGGGTGAATAGTTATGCATGCTCAAGTTTTCAATTTTGTTGTCTTATTTCTTGTTTGTTTCACTTCATTTTGCATCTTCAAAGTTGTAGGCATGTTGTGTAAATCAAATGATACAAACCCCCAAAAAATCCATTTTAATTCCAGGTTCTAAGGCAACATATAATAGGAAAAATGCCAAGGGGGGTGAATACTTTCGCAAGCAACTGTAGGTAGACAGCAGGTGGCTGTGTGTGTGCGTGTTGAGTGTGTATGTGTCTGTATGTGTGTGTTTCATGCTCTTTACCCTGCCTGCTGTATGTCAGATGCTCTACAGGGGCCTTATTTATAACTGTTGCATAAATTTCACACTCAATTTCTGCATGTGCCATTTCTGAAAAGTCTGCCCAAGTACACAAATATTGAGACGTATAAACTTGCCGTAAAAAGTATGCCATACAAATGCATGTTTCCCGTTATAAACCAGATGTCGAAAACTGTGCAAGCGTGAACGAGGCATTAAAACTCCGCCTGGAAAACGCCTCCATTCACCTTTTATGGTGCCAATAACGTCCTTTATTTGCTGTATAATGTGGAACTATTGGCATTAGGCCGTGGCATGCAGAAGACAAATTGTTGTTCAATATTTAGTTAATCAATAGATTATTGGGTTTACATATCCTGCCTTAGTGTAGGCTCTGAGATATTTCCCATACCAGTCTATTTACTGTGTTGGCAGAATGTTTTCATCTTTAGCAGTAATTTATGCTGTATCTGGTAAAGGATCGTGTCCATTTCTGAAAGAGAAAACAATGGTAAATTGTCATGGACGTGTCAGCAGAACGTTTGAATTCAACAATGTTTCATATCGACTTTTCCCCCAATCTAAATATGATGGACTGTTACTGCCCGCAAATTCTAAAACATTGTAGGGCAGGCCCAAAAAAAATATTTATTGTGTGTTTTTAATCTACTTGACTTTTTAATATATATTTTTATAGTACTACTGATATTAATTACTGCATTGTTGGGAAAGAGCAAGCAAAAAATGGCATTTTACTGTACTTGTGCATGTGACAATAAAAACTTGAAACTTGATACATAGGCCTACTTCACTGTAAAAGATCAGCTATGATATTGCAAAACTTGAAATACATATAGCCTATATATTTACTAGGCTACTAGGTCCAATTAAATGAGAGATGCACATGGTAATTTGTTGTATGGCTCCTTCCCTAATGAACCCATCATGGCCAGAAAAGGTAAGGAATATATTCTGTAATGGTTACGAAAATAAAATTGGAAAAATATTCCTATGTCTAAGTATAAGATTCCTATGTCTAATTATAAAACATAGATTTGAGCTCTTCTCACTAATGGCAAATGGTTGCATTCTTGTTAATATGTTATCCTGTTTTAAGTTTTTTTTATGAATAAGCTTTTCATCATATCCCCCATTTGCACAAAAGACTTACTTGCCAGCTTGCAATACAATATTTCAACCACTTGAAAATGGGCGTAGGCATGGTCTAAAGTTTGCAGGGAGGTGAGAACATTCTCACGTCAAGTATTTTTTTTAAATAAATGTCAACCTTTGCGTGAAAACTGGCGCACACACATTTTGGGGTATATTTTGTACCTATGCAAGGTTTATAAATGAAGCCCAGATGTTGTCAAATTGCTTTACAAATTAAATAGATCCTTCCCAGGCACTAAAATAGCATCAGTCCCATAGATGTCACCTTTCATTGGTGTTACTGTCTGAAGACTGACAGCATTTCAAGATATAGAACAAAGAGAAAGGCGGAGTAAGACATTATGGATGCCTCTATACTTATTGCATGATGCAGTTTATATTTGCATCAGTTACTGTCAAAACAGGAGGCCGTGGACAAAGTCTACTTCTGGAGAAACCCTGACAAAAGAAGTCCTGCTCCTCCTCTCCATGACAGATGCAGTAGGGAGGCCGCTAACTTCTATCCACTCCCGTCTGACCAACGCTCTACAACTAGCGCCTCATCCGCTTCCAGTGCCAGTTTTTTATCCAATGAGAGACTGGACTGACAGAAGCGCGGAGGTGGCCGCGGTCACGCGTACCGACGAGATGCCGTACCCGAAGGGGTAAGAAGAAATGACTATCAGAGGC